AACATAACAGGTTTAGTACATATGCTGATATTAACTTTTTTCCTTAAAATCACCCGAGGTTTCACATCCTGTATTATCGGCACTCAATTAATTAACACCCTGTATAGTCGCTGCATATCTACCAGAGAAGAGCAGTAAGTTTGTGCGCGACTAGGAAAAATAAAATAATGTATGAATACGGCGAAGGAAAGCTGAAATATAAAAATTGATTTGCGTCAGATTTTTGGAGTTGACAATATTTCCATGTAGTAACTTGTACAAATAATATTAAGCTGGGCAATTTCGTGTCTCTTTTTAACACAATCCATCAGTTCAGCGTACGGAATTAGACACTTGTATTTCCCGCTCCGTTTATAGTTAAGATACCTTAGGAATTTCCTTTGCATGTTCCTTACACGTTTTCTATTGATACCTTTTACTAGGAAATTCAATTTAAATACAGGGTGGCCATTTGAAAACAAAACAGCGCCTATTTTGGGGACCTTAAAACATTTACGAAAACATCCTCGGACCCCCGTCAATTTTTGATTCAAGGGGAACCATTTTTTGCTAGTTTCCACCATCCAAGTTACCGTATCGTATATCCTTTGTGGTGTTTATCGAAATACTATCCCATTTCAGATTGCATGCATAATTCCCACTCTGATTAGATTAACGTTCTTGACGACCCTGTCGTGACCAACGTCCAATTTAAACCGAGTTGGAGAGGTACTGCGTGATCGACGATAATAAGGGATAATAAAGAGATGATAAAGAGCAATGAATAACTTACGTGAATGGATATAAAAGAATCACAAGTAATTTACAAATCGCGCGAGGGATGGGAGCATTTTATTTTTCCGTCTCTAGTTAATTGTTGATGAAGAGCAATCGAAATGCGAGAAGTTTGTAGTCGATTAAGGTGAAATTGTAAGAAAAAACCGTGAACATGAAAGGGAACCGTGGACGTTTGAGTGGCGGAAGGTGTTCGTGAGTTCAGTTTCCGTTTTTGACTGTAAGCCGATTGTTAGGGTTTTAAGAATGTCTGCTTTTTATTTGGGGGTGCGAAGTAATTTATCTGCGTTAAGTGGACAAACTTATGGGATCCACTTTTTTTAACCAAACGTCATTGATTTGTTCCTATTAAATAAATCGTTCAAATGTAGTACTTTAAACGTTAGGACATTAACATCAATCCTTGCAATTTAAATACGTTTTATGCCATTGTCCCTAGAGGATGTATACAACAATAATGTTACAATGATGATGGAACAAACAAAACAACTGCGCTACAATAATGAAATTACTTGTAAATTTGGAGCAATTCCTAAGAATTTCTGAAATTGACTTTGGATGATAACGCAAGAGAAGAAGGCAAGAATTAGAATGCAATGATTTTTGATAAGTATACTTTTAACTGGGAGATCTGAAATTGAGTTAAACGATCATCAGTATTACCAACCTTATAATAATAATAATAATGTTTATTAATCCAATAGATCACAATTTCTGGATATAGGACAAGTCAAATTAAACCAAATGTAACCAATAAAATAAGTACATGTAACGGTAAAAGACAACAATATTCTATGAGTAAGTAACAAACACATAAAGAAATCACAGTTAAAATGAATGATTGAAATACTCTACGATGGAATAAAATGCATGGTTGTCTAGAAAGTTGTTTACTGTGTTTTTAATATGGCGTCTTCTAGTCTTCTTGTTGTGCGAAAAAGCAGAATTTGATCGAAGCGAAATTTTTCTTAAACGAAAATCTAAAATCTGCTACAGAATACCGTTCTCGCTACAGCATCAGGTTGTCCTCTTCTATACAGCTTTAAGAGATAAATTAGAGAGGATTACCACCTGCATCAATGCGCTTTGACGAATAATCTGAAATTCAAATGAACCGGAAAAATTCATAGTGGAAAATTAGCTTTAATATTGATTTTGACTGACATTAAAAGAAAGAATCTTAGACGTAATTCCGAGTTTATACATTTTCAGTATTCACGCCCAATTTAACCCTACTTGGATTAAAAAGTGTAATCCAATTTAGAGTAGCTAAATGTCATGTACATTTCCATGTACTGTATTCTCATGTGCTTGTCCTTATGCCCCTAAAAAGCGCGTTTCAAATTTAAGCCGTTACAACTACTTAAATTTTACTGAAATTCATTTCTTAAATTAGAAGCGACATCAACTTCGTTGTGTCACGTTATGTTTAAAACGTTACTTGCACCACCACATCACTCTAAATTATTGTTGGGGGAATCATAAAAGTCACAATAAATAAAATGCCATTCGCACGCGATGACCTCCAGTTCTTAAATGGCAATAATTGTCCATCCTACTCATTCGGAAGGTATACTAATTGATTATTTCAATGGTATCCATCGACTCTTTATCAAACTTATTCCGAAATGTCAAGAATCTCAATTTCTCTTCTTTACAATAAAATATGGATGCGAGGTAAACTTGAAAAACTGCGGCACTGCGTGAGTGTACCATAATTACGCCTATCTTCGTAGACTTTTGCATTTAGACTTCGAACGTGTTACCCAATTGCGAAAGGTGACGCTAATTTTGCAATAAACACGTTCTTTATTATAAGAAACCTCTATCTACAGTAGACTGATTTGAGGGCTACCACTTATACGCTCGAACGGACAGACTGTGATACAAAGGCACTTCAGAACTGACTTCATATCTTTGGTTCGTGCCTCGGGGGTAACTTTTGAGGCATTTATCTCTTAATAACCTGATATACTCAATATTATTGACTTGACCACACAAAAATCCCAATTTTCCGGGTCGATCTGAGACAATTTTTTTTCGGGCCTCAAAAAAAGGCAGTGTATCACCTTCCTTTTTAACCAAAAGTCGACTAGACCAAAATTTCTCGGGAAAACACTTTTTCTTATTAATTTTGGTGTGTAGAATCCAAAACAATTCGTACTTTTTCGATTACACTTCTCCATCAAAGTTATAGACTATAAACCAATTTCGAAAAAAAATTCAAAGGGCTGTAACTTTTGAACTAGTAGCCGAATCTTGGAACTGTTTGAAATTATGGATTCTACAGGCCACATTCTATAAATAAATTTTTTTTTTCAGGTCGATCTGAGACAATTTTTTTGAAGGCCTCAAAAAAAGGCAGTGTACAACCTTCCTTTTTTACCAAAAATCGACTGCACCAAAATTTCTCGGGAAAACACTTTTTCTTATTAATTTTGGTGCGTAGAATCCAAACAATTCGTACTTTTTCGATCAGACTTCTCAATCAAAAGTTATAGACTAGAAACCAATTTCGAAAGAAAATTCAAAGGGCTGTAACTTTTGAACTAGTAGCCCAATCTTGGAACTGTTTGAAATTATGGACTCTACAGGCCACATTCTATAAGAAATTTTTTTCCGGGTCGATCTGAGACAATTTTTTTTGAAGGTCTCAAAAAAAGGCAGTGTACAACCTTCCTTTTTTACCAAAAATCGACTGCACCAAAATTTCTCGGGAAAACACTTTCTATTATTAATTTTGGTGCGTAGAATCCAAAACAATTCGTACTTTTTCGATGAGACTCCTCAATCAAAAGTTATAGACTAGAAACCAATTTCGAAAAAAAATTGAAAGGGCTGTAACTTTCGAACTAGTAGCCCAAACTTGGAACTGTTTGAAATTATGGACTCTACAGGCCACATTCTATAAGTAAATTTTTTTCCGGGTCGATCTGAGACAATTTTTTTTGAAGGTCTCAAAAAAAAGGCAGTGTACAACCTTCCTTTTTTACCAAAAATCGACTGCACCAAAATTTCTCGGGAAAACACTTTCTATTATTAATTTTGGTGCGTAGAATCCAAAACAATTCGTACTTTTTCGATGAGACTCCTCAATCAAAAGTTATAGACTAGAAACCAATTTCGAAAAAAAATTGAAAGGGCTGTAACTTTCGAACTAGTAGCCCAAACTTGGAACTGTTTGAAATTATGGACTCTACAGGCCACATTCTATAAGTAAATTTTTTTCCGGGTCGATCTGAGACAATTTTTTTTGAAGGTCTCAAAAAAAAGGCAGTGTACAACCTTCCTTTTTTAGCAAAAATCGACTGCACCAAAATTTCTCGAGAAAACACTTTTTCTTATTAATTTTGGTGTGTAGAATCCAAAACAATTCGTACTTTTTCGATTAGATTTCTCAATTCTCAATTTGGGTGTGATATTAGATCGCAAATTAAGGTTTAAGTCTCACGTCGGTAAATGTATCAGAGCGGGGTTCTGGAAATTAAGGCTGCTCTACCAAAATCGAGAAGTCCTTAACGTTAAAACTAAGCGAATGTTATGTGATAGTTTGGTACTTTCATACTTTAACTTCTGCGATACAGTATATGGACCATGTCTTGACAGCGTAGAGGTGAGGCGTATACAAAGATTGCAAAAGGCGTGTTTACGTTTCATATATGGTGTTCCAAGATCGACGCATCATATTTCGGAGAAGCTAGGGGATGCAAACTGGCTAAATATGCGTAGTAGAAGAACAGTTCACTTACTTGTATGCTATTACAAAATATTAACATATAACACCCCCGCGTACCTCTGGGAGAAGGTCGGATGTGCATCATTTGTGTATTTTGATGCTTAACAAAGTGCTTTATCAAATGACATAAGAAAAGAAGTAAAAATTGCTTCCAATAACAAAGTTGTTAACCGGAGACGAAAGGTCAGACTTAAAACTAGTATCTTGCAGAGAGAAAACAGTGGTAATAATAATGTGTCATTTATTTAGAAATACCTTTTTAAATAACTTCGGTAAAATATCACCGAAAGCAGTCGGAATTTTTTCAGTTGCAAAACGGCATTTTGTTAAGCATCAAAATAAGCAATTTTGCTAAATTTCCAAGATCCTCATGGTGCATTGCAGTTGGGATTTCTTCCGCATTTTCCAATACGAAATTTGATCCTTTTGTCTTAGTAGCATGCGCTTAATGAAGGGTAAGTAATAATAAGCACATCAATTTAGCAATTGGTCTTTATTTCGCCTTTACAAATTATTCAATACCAGTGTGGGACTTAATCCAGCTACCATAGCGCGAAGTCCGGGAGAATCCAGCGGGGTATCCTTTGGCGCATCCCGCGATATGCCCGAAACTCACAACGCCAACGTGAGTTGCCGTGCCGTTTGCGTCTAGATGAATTAGTGGGCCTCCACTGTCACCCTACGACACAAATGGAAATGAGGAATTGATTAGTGATTAATTGAGATGCTTACGTTACACGTGCTTTTTGAGTTTTCGCCCGTGCAACAGACTACGTCATCGGTTACTGCAGATGAGTAGATATTCCCACAAACTTTATTGGGGATTGTTGTTAATTCGACAAAATTGAGTGCTGCAGAAACACTGGTCGAGGCTACAAGAGAGTTAACAATGCCATTGATGGTAAAATGGAAAGATACTAACCATCAGATGTTTTCCCCCACCCACTGACAGTTAATCCTGTGTGATCGGCAACGTAGTCCTTTCCAAGCCGTATGGCTCTAATCGTATCTACAACACGAGTAAAAAACCCAACGCACCTTCTCTACTCGAACATACCAGTAAACTCGACTGTCCTCTTTAGGTTTATTAACCCAATGTCGTTGTTTAAGGAGTAGGGATCGTATGCTTCGTGAGGAAATCCTTCATCCGTTACCACCATTAAGCTATTACTTTTAGAACTCAAGCTACCCAAACCAATCTCAAAGGAATAAGCACTAAAATAACACTGTTCAGTAACGGTACGTGACTTTAGATTAATTTTACTTTTGAACACAATGAGCTGCTGTTAGAACCCAACTATTGGAAATTAAAGAACCCCCACAGAAAGACGTACCGTACAGAGTTTTGAAACGGTTCGATACCTGCCAAGGGAACTGGCCTGCTACGGCCGGTGACCCATTTATAATTTTGGGCCCTGAAGTTTTAAAGTAAGATACTAACGTCTTATGCAATTTTTGATCTACTTACTCTCGACATCTTTGAAGACAACGGCCGGTGTCTAAAATTAAACGTTAAGGAAGAAGCTAAACGTAATTTGTACTTACAAATCGGAAAGCTGTGGTTAACCCGGCCAGCAGAACTACCAGTAGATGTTTCATGTTGAATATTGATGAATGTATTGGAATACCTCCAACTTATATATCGTTGTCATGATTATCTTACAATGTCAAGTGTCGTTGTGAATTGCTTTTTTAATATCCGTTGTTTGAATACACTGAAGGTCCTCCAAAGCAATTCATCGTACCGTGATTGTGCGAAATACGTATGCTATTTTTGACCGAGGAAGTAACAGGAAGTGAGCTTTTCATTTTAACACTTGCATCTTCTCCAATACCAGCTCCCGAGTGCACTGAACAGTTTCTAGTGTCGGTTATACCACCCTTGTACAACCGGCTCCAGAGGCTTATAACTTGATACTACGCTCAAGAATCTGTGGGCTTTAGTGCAGGGCTTTTAGTTAACAAAATTGTACACTTTTGTTTAGAAACATTGTGTGTAAGAGATTGTTTATGTAGTTAATATATTAATAAGAGCATTTTATCAAAAATTCGAAATCTCCGAGTAGGTACTTTACTAGTCAAAAATATTCCGACCTTGATGTAAACACTTGAAAGGACGTACTATTCAAGCCTTCATATCGCTGTTTAAGCATTGCCTGTATTTAAAAACACAGTTCCACTTCAAGGAAAATAATTTTGTCATGAGAGCGCCGAAATTCTCCCAGATTAGGTACCTACAAAGGTTAAAAGACAGATTTCTAATACCACGACTGCCAACGAGCTTCCATTTCGGGCTGAATCGATACAAAATAAATTAATAAAAGATAACTTGTATGGCTCTTCTGCGCACCCGTTAACTGATATTAACGTAAAATAACAGAAAGTACACAAGAAAGTGTGGTTTGCGTATGAAATTTGGGTACGTTTATTACTGTAATGGACAGTTCGGCAGCGGTGACCAAAGATATTACGATAAGTAGGTAGCTTATTATGTAGAAAATTCGGCAATTTCAGCTCACCAACGCATTTAACCCTTTTTATGGTTTTATAAATAATTCCAGTACGTAAATAATTAATACTTCAATTACCGTAACAGCAAAGCACATTTTTGTGTGCGGTTTTTCTTTAAACAATGTATATGAAATAATGAAATGCGATCACATGTGGTGCAGCGCCTATACACGCAAAGGCACAGTAGGCTACGTGATCGCAATAATTCAAATTGATTTATTATTCAATTTATATAATGTCACTTTTATGCATTCTTCGAGCTTAAAGTCATTACAAAAGTATTATTTATTGTGATATATTTAAAGAACGCTACATGAATCTATGTAATCGAAATGGATGTATAAAAAGTGGATCGAATTTCGAAAGTACTTACCTACCCTAAACGGGGTGAAGTTAATTTGGCATTATTTTTCACCGAACCGGGCATTTATTGCATTGTGACCTTATCAATCGTTGTAGATGTATATCATCAGCTACCTGTTTATGTTTTACAGTTTCCAGGATCGTCATCGTGGCCCTCGAATTTGAATCAGCATGTATATCAGAAATAGATCCGAATTCATAAAAATTTTTTTTCGCGCCCTATTTGTTCCATGTTTCTACCTTAAAAAATTAAAGAAGAAACGACGATTTTTTAGTCGTTTCGAGATTTAGATTTTGAACCCTAGGCTTCTTCAGAAACTACGTTTCTGTTGTTACCCCCAGAGAATGATTTGAAACATCTCTGATCAACCGTAAAATTAAACACATTAAAGCTAGAAGATTCTTCAAATTCCTCCATTTCTGATTCTTCATTAAGATCTTAAAGATTGATCGAATGAATAGTGTAACGGTAGCCCTTAATTGGGATTTATTTTCTCGAAAGTAGTCGGAGATGTTTTCGGGATGCGCATTGTCATAAGTTTGGTAGTATAGGGTATTCGAAGCGTATCTTTGGAGATTTGTAGAAATCGGAGTTATCAATTAAGTTTCTTAGATTCGTCTCTACTCTTCAAGTTAAATATGATCTTCAGATTTATTGGGTTCTTCGTTTCACAGAATTTGGTCAACTACTTTAACGAATCTTTCTCCGATTACTTAAAATCAATAGAAACTTGGCTTACATACCTACGAGTATATTGGTATAAAAAGTTCTATTTACTTTAAACTTGAATTCAGACAAATTGAGCTGCACCCCTTCGCATTCAACGCTATAACTTTAAAAACGTTTATCCAGAATTGATGGCTTACGATAAATTTTAGTTTAAATGCATAAGGTATTAAGCTTGGGATTTCAACTTTTCTACATATTTCGACTATTCAATTTTTGGAGCATTATGCTCGGCGAGCTCTTTAAAAATGAAAGGCGCCATTCGAATATGTAACGGTTGAAGTGGGATGCGTCTGCTTACGAAAAGCAGTTACCCACCTTAAACGTCATTTTCTCTTATTTCAAGCAGACAAGTTTTCATCAAACAAAGGAAAAAGTTTCGGACAGGGAATTTTAAAAAGGTATATGGGCGCGCATTATAAAGTTCAGTAAACTTAAAAATAATTTCCTACGCACCGGAAACTTCACACCAACAAGTTAAAAAGGGTTTTGTCAAACTTTCCCGAACTCCTCTTTTACAATAAATCAGGATAAATGTGATTTATTAAGCGTCAAATAAACATTCTTCCGCTATAGATGAAATTCAGAAGTTGAATGTTCGCTTTAAAAAATGTTCCCATTCTTTAAACGACTTTCTCCCATCCGTCTTTTCTGTGTGCGATTATAAACAAATCTGACAAAACTAGTGTCTCTGCCGGTTATTAACTCAGACAACTTCTAAATTATCACGATTTCCACTAAATTGGAAATTGAAACCGAACACAAATATTTCAAACTTCCCCTTGTTGCTGTGTTTTAAAGTGGGTCAGTTACTGTTCACTACTAATGGACGTGAGTGTGTGGTTCTTCTAATTAATCTGATGCGTATTCACCTAAAATTTGTAAAATGCAACAAATGAGCCCAAAATGCATTATACTAACTCATATCGGGTTTAATGAAATCAATATGTAGCCATCAAACCGACAGACCGCAATATTTAATAATAAAACAAGCAACACACGAATGCAATTTATGAATAATGGACGTTTTCAAGACTAAAAGGTGCATTCTGTCCTTAGAGTGGTGGATTCAGGCCAAGAATCACTTACTTTTCTCCCTATTGGTTTCAGGGCATATTATATTTAAAAAAACGAATCTTCACAACAAGATTCAGCGCCAGATGCGCATTTTTCGACTATCAGGGCATTTTGATGATCGAATATACGGCAATCCCTCCAAGAAATCAACGGAAAACGATTACATTTAAGGCAAAAAGGTACTGAGAATGATTGGTAGATCTTTTGTAGGTGGAAATGGGAACAATAATTTTATTTTCACCTGTAGTACCAAGAGATTCATCCCTAAGGATAAAAAATGTCTCAAATTTGCGTAACTTGGTCGCCAATTTTTCCAATTGTTCATTCTCATTGGGGTTAATTTTCATTTGAAGAGGGGCGGCATCATATAACAATTCATTCTTACTTTATTTCATTTTTTCTACCTCCACATTTCTACGTTACAGTTCAGATAATCAATATTCTCCTCTTATACAGATAATCTAGCCTTTGTGTTGACAAAACTGAAAAGAACCTAGAATTTTTCATTTGTTGTGTGATATCTGAAATGCTAAATACGACTTTTGACTTTGGTACTGCCCGAAGGAATCGATTTACCTTGAAAATGATCAAAAATCGTGGAATTTTTAGTCTAGAAAAGAAAAGAAAGGGTTAAAGTGATTCGCGGAGTAAAAAGAGGAAACTCGCTCCTTTTTAGATGGGAATAAGGTACCACCCTGGGTACCACCGAGGGGTAATCCACTGAGTAAACTTCAAAATTAGAATAAAATTCCAGAATTACAAAAAAATTCCATCAGAGTTTCAAAAAACTTCCAAAACTGCAAAATAATTCACTTGAATTCCAAAAAATTCCATTGACTTTCAAAGAATTTCCTTAAATTCCAGTAACTTCCAAAAAGAATTCAAATGAATGCCAGTGACAATTTTAAGTAGATATCGAGGTAGATATTAATCTTGGGAATATAAATCTGTTAACAAGAATTGATATTAATTGCTGTGACCATTCAACTTAGAGACACAGACCAAAAATTAAATGCAATGCCCCATGCTGGGCGAGCAAATAATAATGCTGTGACTCTTTTAACTTCCGGCCATACACACAACACATCAAACCAAACCAGCTCTTTAATGAAGTTTCTCCAGTACACATTTGCACCCCGGCACAACAAAAAATTCAATTGTGACTTTAAATTCCTGATTCCAAGCTTAAGGTTCTAACTTCAAAAAGGTCGTTAAAGGAATGAAATAGATACACGATTTGCATGATTTTATTTAAACAAAATTTATTTTGAATCAACAAATGAAATTAAACTTAGAATCCTATTTAACAAGGCCTCTTCTTTAGGGATACTCCGGTATTTAAACGGACCTCCCTGCTTAGATAGCATTGCCATTTCTTAACAAATTAAAATGAAATGAAAAATTTTGGAATCTCTGTATAGTGAAGCTACAGAAAAAGGATTGGTCCTAATGCAGTACCCTGGGGAACTCACATTTTTATAGTCTTTTCATGACTTGCCACGTTATTAGCCAACAAACTGTTACTCGCATCCCCTGAGAATTACCAATAGCGAGAATTCGGCCAGCAGTCGTAAAGAGCTTCAATCTTGTCATGCAGATGCAATTTAAACGCAAGATTTTGATAGAAACCATTAAAAAAAGACGACAATTGCTAATTTGTGAGGATGCAAGGCTAACCACGCTTCTTTAATGAACTGAAATTACTAACAAAACAAGTTTTTAATTAATTGTCGTAGTTATACCGTTGAGTCTAGGATATTTAATTACTAAATGATTATACATCAAGTGAAGTGAAAAGGTTAATTTACTTGTTTTATAAACAATGAAGTACAGTAATAACGAATGACGTAGTATGGGTAAGGTATCTAAGAGATAACCGGAGAAATACAAGGGAACACAGGAAAGCAAAAGAAACTTTCGGAGGACTTTTTAAAGCATAGTATTTAAATGAAGAAGAATGCCATACATTAAATCTGTAATGATTCTACACTTGATTCGTGATTTAAAATTTTATCGATTTTGGAATTACACTAATCTAATAAAAACAAAAACAGCCCACCCTTGATGTTGCACAAGGAAAGCATCATAACTCAAGACTAACAAGTTAAAAAAGTAATCGTAAACGATTTACATAAAGCGCATTTCCACTTGCATTCATTTCCTATTTGTAAGATGCAACTTTTGTTAAAATTGTAAAAATCCGGCTACAAATATGAAAGATAGTGTTGCACATGTGCAATCCAATTTTGACGTGCTACTTTAATTTCAGTTTATAAGAAGAGTTTCATTTCAATGGTTTTTTAAATAAGAAATTTGGAACTGCGCATGCGCAAATCCAAATTTTGAAGCTAACGTTAGATTTTCCTTTGTTCCTAGTGCCTA